ACACCCACATGACCAGAGGATAGTAATTTATAAAAACAATCACATTTTTTGGAAGAATTGAAACTTTATGAAAGGTTTAACAAGAAAGAGTTTAACATTAAATATTTGGACAGAATTCCTAGTCTCCCTTCTCCTAAACTGGCTGCCAAACAAGGTAAGACATTCTATTCTACTTTTTAAACGACAGCCAGAGGAAGATGAATAGACTGGTGCCTTTATCGTATTAATTAGCTTCAAGTTAGCGGAATAAAGTTAGCCGATTGCGTTCATATAGAATTTAAGAAGCTAATGGTTAGCGTTGAATTAGACCAGGAAATCACCTGAAGATACCGAAAATGGAAACCAAAGTAGCGGAACTTGATATCCTATTTTTATACCATATATTCACGTTGTTTACGATTAGCAAGCATCACATTCTTGCAGAAAACTTATCACGTCAGCTAAGACATTCCTTTGTCTCCAAAGGCTCTTACACTAAAAACTCTGATGATATGATTATATAAATATTTAAATTGAATTATTTTTCATGTAATATAAAATTTATTTATTAAAATAGCAAATTTTTTTTTTTACTAATAACATTTTTCAAATAAATATTAAAATGAATGGCTTTTTAAAGGCATTTGCAATAGTGATTTTTGATTGCATTTCCTCAACAGGGATTTAATGCTAACAATCTAAAATTTGGTGTGACTTTTTATTTCATTACGTCCCAACTATCTAAACTTGTCTAAAGTTGATTAAGGAACAAATGTAAAACCAACAAACCGTAATACATATATTTATACTCACTCGACTCTCCCGTCGAATTCGACGTGTTAGGGTCAAGCAGATCAGTCCCTAGGAAACTGACAGCCCGACACCAGCATATGAGATTTGATTATAGTGGTGAAGGTTTCGTGCAGAACCATCCACACTTTTTGAAGGGTCAAATACAGAGACTTGGTGCACTAAGTGCCACAGGGTCCCTAAACGGCACTCCGCAGGTTTTTAATTCAGAGTTGTCCTTCTCCTAAACCAGTTGCCAGCCTGTCCTGCTATTTACCCATAGCTTGAGGGGGAAGAAAATTCACACCTTTCCCAAGGGTATTAACACGTAAGTGAATGTAATGGATTCCACTGGAATTCGAACTCAGCTCTCCGATTCCTCACACCAAGCCGAAGTAAAGTAAAGTCTTTGGAAGCAAAATCTGATGATCCGCAGTCCTTTAAAAGGGCTGTGGGGAAATAATTTAAATACAAAGGTGGCCCTTCCGCCAAAACTTTTAAAATTTATAAAAAAGATTTTTGAGGCGTGCTCAAAAAAGTACCGATATAAAAGAAGGTCATTAATTTCACAATTTAATTTATGATTAATTTTTTTGCACGACAAGAGGTTTGTCTTTTAATAAAATTTTTTTTTAATAAATATAGTTTAATTAAGATTTGTTGATTATCTGAAAAAAAAGAAAATTTTTTTAATATTATCTTAAGGATTCTTACTTTTTCTCCCTGTATATAAGTTTGTGTGTTTTGGGTTTTTTTTTCCTTTTAAATTTAAAGTTACACCTTTTTGTTTTTTTTCATTTATTTTAAATAGGAAATTGAAAAATCAATTATTTATTATTTAAATTTTAAAAGATTGAAAAAATTATTTGAAAGTAAATTGGTGTGGTCCAAAAATCATCAATTAATTTGGGGTTTTTTGAAAGATGGGAAAATCCAAATTTTCCCCTGTCTTTTGTTTAAAACATCATTTTTTTGGGCTTTCAAGAGGTGAAATATATAATACGAAAGAAAGGGTGAAATAAAAGACTTTAATAAAATTTTGGAATTTGTTTGGAAATAGAAAAAACCTGAATGAATTTTGTGATGTAGATGAAATGTAGTAGATAGTGTAGTAGAAACTAAAAGTAGAAAATTTTTCTGGTAGTAAAAATTAAAATAGTAGATAATAGATAGATGTGAAGATTTGAATGAAGAAGAAATTGTTCTCTAGAAGAAAATAAAGAGTAGAAGAAGAAGAAGAATATACCTTTAATAAAGATTGAATAAAATTTTAATAGATGATGATAATAAATAATAGATTAGTAATAATATTCTATTTAAATGTGTAATAATGTAGATAATTGAATAACCAATGTAGTAGAAGATGTGAAGAAGATGAAAAGTAGATATGAACTAAAAATAGAAAACTGGTAGTGGATAAAGGGAAGGATAGATGATAATTGTACTTACTGAGTAATAATAGATAATAGATGATAGATGGTTGAAAAATTTTCTAATGAAAAAATAGTTAATAGATGTGTTTAATGGAAAAGAAGGAATTTTTTAATAAAAATAGGATTAATTATTTTCAATGTAATAGTGTAAAAGTGTGTGTGTGTGTGTGTTGTTTTGGGATTAATAATAAAGTAGGAAGTAGATAGTTGAATATTAATGGGAAATAATAGGTAAAAATAATGTAAAAGATAGAAATATGAAATAATAAGATATAAGATTTTATTTTTTGGGTGTGGAAGAGTGTGAAGATAAAATAATTAAAGTATGAACTTTTTTGGGAGAAGAAAATTAATGAATAATAGAAAAACAAGATAATAAAAGATAATAGATATCAAAATTTGTAGTCCATGTTGCACATTTAAAAATTTTTAGAAGAAAGAAATATTTTGGTGGGAAAAAATTTTAAAGGATGGAATAAAATTGAAAAATTTCTGAATTTAATATGATATGAAAAGGGGTAAAATAAAAAGATTTTTTTATTGATTATTTTACCTGAAATAGTTGGAGAATTTAAAAAGGGAATGAAGGAAAAATCAAAGAAATTTATGAAAACCCAAAGGTTGTGATAGGGGAATAATTTTTTGATAAAATTTAGACAAACTTAAGAAAAAATTAAAAATATTTTAAAAGTTTATTAGTGGTAATTTTAGATGGTTTAATAGAATAAAAAAAAGAGGTTTGCTTTACAATGTAATATAAAAATTAAATAAAAAAAAATGTTTCAACATTAGTTTTATTACTCCGCCATGAAGATAATTAATGTGAATGGAGAGATATGTCTTTCTGGTGAAGAAAAACCAAAATTTTATGAAGGTTATTTTTTATTAAAATTTCCTCCTTTTTTTTTTTTTTTCTTCTTTGTTTTGTTAATTTTTTTTTGTTTCTTTTTTGATGATGATGATGGTGGGGTTTTGTTACAATTTATTAAGGTAATAATCAAAGTTAGTAAATTCATATAATTTCTTTGTAAATAAATAAACCAAGGTCACATATTTTTCCATAGTTTAAATCCTTGGTAAATTAAGAATTGGTGTTTTAGCTATAATCTTGAACGGCAATTTATCTAAAACTTTTTCCTTTCTTGGTTCTGTCAAATATGATCAGAATTTAACCTCCACAGGATAAGAGTCCAGATGTCGCCTTGTGCCACCATTGTAATTAGTTAAAGCGCATGCGTATTATAGAGTTTTAAAACTACCAATTTAGATGCGTGGTCCAATAATAAAAGTCACTTCAGACGAGTTATAGTGAAGACCAGATCTTGACCATATGGTAAATAGGAGGGGTTCTTTATCAACACAGTTCCAAGCGTTATTATATAGAACTTACAGTACATCTGCAATTATTTCCATTGATTCTAGTTACATATTTTCCGGGTCCAACAGAAACTAAGATAGGATGATATCCGAGACTTCACTGAAGAATTTTGTAACTGACAATGTTCATCTTGGAAATTAGATAGCCTTGGACATAATTTGAATTTGACTTGTCCAGCTTGATTTAGGGTTCTTGCTACAGAATTTAGATAATATAAAGATGGCGCCTGCTTAAAATGAACTTTATACAACGATCAATCTCTTTCTCTTTCACTTTAGTTTTCGTTTTTCCCATGAACACATTTCTTTTTTTATATCTAATTTTGTTCAACTGATTCTGATATCTATATCCGATGGTCTGTCGTATAATTTACTGACAGAAAGAATCCCAATGAGATACAGTCCGAATGTGTGCGATGTCTTCGAACTTATTACATAAAGAGCCGGGATTTTTCTAGACCGAACCCGCTAATTAAGGGGATACTTTTAGCTCACGGGTTTTTTTATTCTTTTCTACAAAATATCATGTTTCAAGGATCCTTAAGATACGAAAGACACAGCGTCTCAAAGTTAACATTTCAGAACAACATTTCATTTCTTAAATAGTAGAATACAGACTGATATGTCCACAAATATATTTCTGTTTATGTGCACTTTGGCTATCACTGTGTCTGTCTGCGTATCTCTCAACTATCTCAACGTATCCAATTCCACGCTGAACGTTCAAATCCCTGTCAGTAGATTACTTACGAGTCCATCTCATGTAAACATTTGTACGGCACAATAAAATTACTTGAGATTTTACAAGAAAAATGGATACAAAAATCTTTTTAAAGCTCATGGAAACGTTATTGTTGTTTTTGTGGAGGAACGGCGTTATTGCCTAATACGGTTTTTGAAGAGAAGAAAGTATTTTCCACATGTGTTTACAGCATTTTTTTTCATTTGCTGCATTCATGTAAATACTAGATTCTGAAAGTTACCAAATTAGATATTTATTATTATTCCACCAGTATTTTATTTTCTTGAATGGCTCTAGTCCTGATGAGAAATTGAAATCTGATATCAATAGGCAATACACGCAAGAAACCCATTTATCGAACAACAAGAAGAATTTACTGCCCAAATTATAAAGACAGGTCGTGACCAGAGTCACTGTGATGATAAACGTAATTTATAAAACAATCACATTTTTTTGGAAAGAGGTTGTTCGTTTAAAATGTTTTTCTTAATTTATGAAAGATTTGTTGACAAGGAAAAGAGATTATTACATTAAATATTTGGTTACTTACTTTACACACTGTAATTCCTTTGTCTCCCTTCTCCTAAACTGGTTCTGTTTCATTTAAGTAATATTTGAAATTAGTGAAATCAAAAATAAAAGACTAATATATAGATGTTTGAATATATGTTGTATGTGACACATAGATGTGAACATGCTGGGATGGATAGATGGATGGATGGATGGATGGATAGATGGATGGATAGATATGGAATATAATATGTTTTAGTGAGATGGATAGATGGATAGATGGATAGATAGATATGTTCAACGGGATAGATGGATAGATAGATAGATAGATAGATAGATATAAACTTAATGAGTTAGATAGATAGATAGATAGATAGATAGATAGATAGATAGATAGATAATGTACTTTACTGAGATAGATAGATAGATAGATAGATAGATAGATAGATAGATAGATAGATAGATGAATGATATATGAACTTAATGGGATAGATAGATAGATGAATGGATAGATAGATAGATAGATGGATGTACTACGGGATGGATAGATAGATAGATGGATGGATGGATAGATAGATGGATAGGATGTACTGGGATGGATGGGATGGATAGATGGATACAGATAGATAGATAGATATGAATACTCTTTAATAGATGGATAGATGGATGGATAGATAGATAGATGGATATGAATATACTTCAATAGATGGATAGATAGATAGATAGATGGATGGATGGATAGATAGATAGATATGAATATACTCTAAGTGGATGGATAGATAGATAGATGGATAGATAGATAGATAGATGGATATGGAATACAATAAGATATATAGGATATAAACATACTGAGATGGATGGATGGATAGATAGATGGATAGGATGGATAGATGGATGGATGGATAGGGAACATATAATAAAGATATGAACTTACTGGGGATGGATAGATAAAGGAACTTAATGAGATAGATAGATAGATAGATAGATAGATGGATAGATAGATAGATAGATAGATAGATATCAACAATTTAGCTCTGTCTTCATGCTTCATATCACTTAAAAGTTCTAGAAACAAACGACCCATATTCTTTGGTAGGACATTAAATTCTAAGCCGATGGACATCAAAAAATAGGAGACTATCTTGCTGACATTTATATATGCACTTACTGAAACACACAGGTAAAATAATAAGATTTCTTATCTGATTATTTTACCTGAACATTTCAACTGAGAATTTAACCATCACAGGACACTTGGAAGGCAAGAGTCGTAAAAGAAATTATGACACAACCAACGGTTCGTGATATGGAGATAAGTTTTGATAAAATTAGCGCATAATCTTGAACGTGGAACACAATTAAAAATATCTTCAAATCGATTATTCCAGTCGGTAAACCATTTCAGATGGTCTCTCATTGAGAGCATACCCAAGTATATAGATGCGACTTCCAAGCCGTCTTGACAATGTAATCATTCAAACTTAAATAAAAACAAACTGTGGACATCCTCACATTAGCCTCCTACCCCTATTACTCCCGCTCATGAAGAGATATGTACCATGTGACATGCCCGAGAGGACATGTCTTTGCTGGCTACGGTGAAGCAACTGATAACCAAATCATTCCTACTGAACGCTTTATTTACTGTTGCCATTATAATTCCTCCTCCTCTTCCTTCTTCTTCTTCTTCTTCTTCTTCTGCTTTTAACCAATAATGGTTAGTGATATATGTCTTACTAATTAACCCATAGCTAAAGAAGTGAAGAAGATGAGAAGAAGTGAAGTGTCTAAAAGGAAATCTTACAATAATAAACACATGTTCTTGCTTTTTACCCATAACTGGGAAGAAGAGGGTTTATACCTTTCCCAAGCACGTAAGTGAAGGTAATGGATTCAACTGGAATTCGAACTCGACCCTCCAATTACTCAATCCGAGCTGCTATCCCTTACTCCACCGTGCCTCCAGTGGATGATGTTGATGCATTTCACCTCTCCATTTAAATACTGAGGACTGCAGATTCCGAATGATCTTAAATAGAATCCGATGATTATTCCGGATTTTATTTTGCTGTTATGATGAAAATAGAAATTTATGAGATCATTTTCATTTGTTGATTTTTGGGTAGACACAATGTTAACGCGCTGAAGCATGAATTCAAAGAAAGATAAAGTATTGTCTGTTTTCATTTCATGTAAAGCGAATATACAGCAAGGTGGATCGTCTTTTTATTGTTAAGTTATCACCAGTGCAATAAGCTTTTTGCCAATCTCGTAACAGCTAAGAAAGACGCGATAAACATATGTTCTTGCTTTAAATAACCTGCAAAGGGTTGATAAACCGTAGATAACAAATCAGCCAACCAACCAATATTATCATTTTATAAAATAAGAAATCGAATTCAATAGATTTTGTAACCTGTTTATTTTATTTTATTTTTATGTTTTTATTTATTTATTTTATTTATTTATTTATTTATTTTTTTTTTTTTTTCAATAACGAAATATCCACCTTTGTCCAAATTAGTGGTTTCTTCTTTAGTTTCCTGTATTTCACCCTTGGTCAGTTTTACGAAATGACAACAAACATTCTTTTTTTCCTCAAAATCATTTGCATTTAAACATTTATTTCAGGGTGTTTGAATATTCTTTTTCAACAATGATTATCAATTTTTGCTCCCACCAGCCACTATTGTCTCGACAGTCGAAATACGAATTGTCTGCGATGGACGTTTCTGCAAGGAAAATCAAAGCTTTACTGGCATAGATTGGCCTGAATCTCTCCTGATTTAAGTCCAATAGAGAATCTGTGGTCAGTCTGCGAACGAATTCGGTAATGGGCATACAAGTACTAACATATACTGGTCGCGTTTATTGAAAAAACACGAAAAGGAAATAATAACGAATTATTCGATGTGTTTCAATTAATTGGCACAAAGGTGTAGCTTGAATTGATAAATAAATATCAATATTAAGAAGTAATATAGCAAAGAATTGATTTTATCTGCTAATATTTTTCTACGATTTCTTCGTCTTAATTTATAAAGATAAGATAAAATAAAATAAAAATAAATAAAATAAAATTATAAAGATAAAAATTTCTTTCTAATATTTCTTCACCTTTATTCCTGTTGTTTTTTATTTGAGAACTCAAATTGTTATACAGTGTATTTATTATGTTATCATTTATATAGATTTATAAACTATTTTTCTAATATTTCGTCATCTTAATTTATAAAGATAAAAAAAATGAAAATAAAAATAAAATAAAATAAAAAATAAAAAGATAAACGATTTTTTTCTCATATTTCTTCATCTTAATTCCCGTTGTTTTTTATTGGAGCGCTCAAATTGTTACTCGATCTATGTATTATGTTATCCTTTATATAGATTTATAAAGACAAAACAATTGAAGTGAAATGGAATAAACAAATAATTACAAATAATAAATTATAACGCTGCAATTTTCGGACAAATATGTCCATCTTGGTTCATGGAATCACAACGTTTCAGTCGTTGTACTATCTGACCATCTTCAGATATCTTTCTTCGTACTCAATGAACCTCTTGAAATATCAAATCTCTCAGTTTATTCAATCCATGTCGGTAGAATATTCTCGTTTCCCTTTCTGTTCTCGATAGTTTTCTGCTATCAGATAAAAATTAAATAGAACGAACGTTGCCATTGCCCTTTCTTCACTAAACCGAGTAATTAGCTTTCTCTTTTTACGGGACATAAGCATTGAACTCACTATAGTGTAAAACCCGGATATAAGAGAGTTGTTGGGACCGGAGAAGTCTCTTATATCCGGGGTTTCTCTTATATCCGGTTTGGTCCATTATATACATTAACACAGGCTCTAATTTGGGACGACGAGAAAATCTCTTTATATCCGGGTTTCTTTATATCCGGTTCTCTTTATATCCAGGTTACACTGTATATTGGTATTTTTTAAAAACCTTGACCCACAAAGTCATTTTTATTGAAAAACGGGCGAAAAGTAAATAACACTATGACCATTTAAACAAAGAAAATCCACAAAACTGACAATATTTCATCTTGGAAATTAGATAGCCCTTGACATAATTTGAATTTGACTTGTCCAGCTTGATTTAGGTTCTTGCTACAGAGAATTTAGATAATATAAAGATGGCGCCTGCTTAAAATGAACTTTGCATACCGGCAATCAATCTCTTTCTCTTTCACTTTAGTTTTTCGTTTTCCCATGCAATTTCTTTTTTCTATTTTATTCATCGTTTATATCCGGGTCTGCGATTCTCCCACCGATCGTTTATTATTACATAAGAGATAGTTTTCTACCGTTAATTTACCTTTTATTTTTTATTCTTTACAAGCATGTTCAAGGTCCTTAAGATGAAAGCTTCAAAGAACATTCAGAACAACATTTCATTTCTTAAGAGACACCTGATATGACAAATAATTTCTGTTTATAGTAGGGCTATCGCAGGAAAAATGAAACCAATGAGCTGAGTTCAAATCCCTGCAGAGATTACTTATTTCATTTGTCACAGTTTACTTGAGATAGACATGGATACATCTTTAGATGGAAAATTGTTGTTTCGCATTGCCTATGAAAAAAGGAGCTTGAAAGTATTTTTCAAGGCATTTTTTCATATTCATGTAATACTGAGAGTTGCAAATTAGATATTTATGATTATTCTGTATTTTATTTTTGTTGTTATGATGAGAAAAGAATCGATATCAATATCTCAGAATTGAACAACGAGTTTACACACATGACCAGAGGATAGTAATTTATAAAACAATCACATTTTGGAAGAATTGAAACTTTTTATGAAAGGTTTAACAAGAAAGAGTTTAACATTAAATATTTGGACAGAATTCCTAGTCTCCCTCCCAAACTGGCTGCCCAACAAGGTAAGACATTCTATTCTACTTTTTAAACGACAACCAGAGGAAGATGAATAGACTGGTGCTTTTATCGTATTAATTAGCTTCCAAGTTAGCGGAATAAAGTTAGCCGATTGCGTTCATATAGAATTTAAGAAGCTAATGGTTAGCGTTGAATTAGACCAGGAAAATCACCTGAAGATACCGAAAAATGGAAACCAAAGTAGCGGAATCCTGATATCCCATTTTTACCTATATTCCACGTTGTTTACGATTACAAGCATCACATTCTTGCATTACGTTAAGACATTCCTTTGAAAGGCTCTTGCACTAAAACTCTGATGATATGATTATATTATTTAGAATTGAATTATTTTTCATAATTTTATTTATTAAAATATAAATTTTTTTTTTTACTAATAACATTTTTCAAATAAATATTAAAATGAATGGCTTTTTTAAGGCATTTGCAATAGTGATTTTTGATTGCATTTTCCTCAACAGGGATTTAGTAACAACAATCTAAAATTTGGTGGACTTTTATTTCATTACGTCCCAACTATCTAAACTTGTTCCAAAGTTGATTACTGAACAATGTAAACCAACAAAACTGTACATATATATTTATACTCACTGACCTCCTGTCGAATTGACGTGTTAGGGTCCAACAGATCAGTCCCTAGGGAAACTGACAGCCCGACACCAGCATATGAGATTTGATTATAGTGGTGAAGGTTTCAGCAGAACCATCCACACTTTTTGAAGGGTCAAATACAGAGACTTGGTGCACTAAGTGCCACAGGGTCCTCAAACGGCACTCCGCAGGTTTTAATTCAGAGTTGTCCTTCTCTAAACCAGTTGCCAGCCTGTCCTGCTATTTACCCATAGCTTGAGGGGGGAAGAAAATTCACACCTTTCCAAGGGTATTAACACGTAAGTGAATGTAATGGATTCCACTGAATTGAACTCAGCTTCAGATTCCTCACACCAAGCCGAAGTAAAAAAGTCTTTGGAAGCAAAATTCGATGATCCGCAGTCCTTTAAAAGGGCTGTGGGAAATAATTTATTACATGGAACCTTAAAGTGGTCTGTTTTTTTTTAAATATATATATATATGTGTGTGTGTTTGTGTGCCCAGGTATGTCTCTGTCTCTGTGTGTGTCTGTGTGTGTGTGTGTGTG